AAGCCTCGAGTAAGAAGTATATACTCCAGGTTGTGACCCATCATGCTTCATGGCAAAGCCAGACATCATACCCAGGTTTCCAGACTTCTTGTCTTCTGGATAGGTGCCTCATACTATACCAGAAACATTCAAGATTTTTCTATGAGAACTAAGTCATCAGTCATTCCATTACGGTCCTAGAACTACCCTGTTTTTCTCACTCATAAGGAAATCTCTGAACTTCAGATTGACCTAGAAAAGCAGTTTCAGCTAGGACTAATTTATATAGATTTCCATTAAATCTAGGAATCCTGGAAAGTTAGCAGAGGGAAGCACGAGGGAAAACGGTAGAAGAGCCATGACACGGAGAAGTTTTTCAAGTCCTTTTTGTCTCTCCAGTTGTTAAAGTGAGTTATCTCAGGCAAGCGGGTATGAGGGTCCTGTGATTTTAAAGATTTTTTTTAATTTTTTTAATGTTTATTTATTTTTAGAGAGAGAGAGAGAAAGCAAGAGAGACAGAGTGTGAGCAAGGGAGGGGCAGAGAGAGAGGGAGACACAGAATCCGAAGCAGGCTCCAGGCTCCTAGCTGTCAGCACAGAGCCCAACGTGGGGCTTGAACTCACGAACCGTGAGATCATGACCTGAGCCGAAGTTGGACGCTCAACTGAGGCCACCCAGGCTCCCCCCAAGGGTCCTGTGATTTTAGAGGAAAAACCTTCAGGTATTAATTTACAGACGAGGAAACAAAGTGATTTATTTAAGACCATTAATTGGGGGCACCTGGGTGGCTCAGTTGGTTGAGCGTCAGACTTCAGCTCAGGTCATGATCTCATGGTTCAGTGAGTTCGAGCCCCGAGTCAGGCTCTGTGCTGACAGCTCAGAACCTGGAGCCTGCTTCAGATTCTGTGTGTGTGTGTCTCTCTCTCTCTCTCTGCGCCTCCCCTGCTCACACTCTGTCTCTCTCTCTTAAAAATAAATAAGGATTAAAAAAAAATTTTTTTTTAAAGACCATTACTTGATTTGTGATATGTGAAAGCATTTTGGAAAGGAAGCAGAATTTTGGTGACGTTACTGCTCTTTGTTCAACGTTTTTAAGGCTAAGCTTGAGATATCAAGGAACTGTGAAGGAATGTAAAATCAGATCAAATTTTTAAGACCCTGGTGCATGGCATTCGTTGGATTTTGTTATAAATTTTAAGGTATTATTATGGGGGAGAAATGCCCTTTCTTTTAATCTAATCGAAGTCTGTAGAAGCAATTATAAATTTTTCACTTTTGCACAAATAAAATACTAGTGTTGAATAATTTTGCGGCTAGATTATACCTATTCTATTTTGTTCATCATTAGGATGTTTATTTGACACCTGTGTTCAATCTTACCTTTTCAACCTCCATTGAAAGTCCCTTTCTTCTGAAATGGTTGTGTCTTCCATATGGAAAGTGTGTTCTATACTTTCTTTGGTCACATGTCCTTCAACACAGCAACCGGCACCATACTAGACATTTCAAGTGTTTAGTAAATAATTTGTGTGTTCTCTTTTGGCCCAATAATTCCACTTTTGAGCATTTATAAAAGGAACTGACCAGAGATATCCGCATCAGGTTATCAGCAAAAATACTCATTATAAGATTATTTCTATTGTCAAAAATTGGGGGGGGGGGGAAGCCTCAGAATCAAATTGACTCTATAAATGATTCAGTTAGAGGTAATATGGTCTACAGATATTTAACATAATACTGTACAGGGATAGTTTGTAAATACTTTTCAGTGTGTGCTTAAGTGCAAAAAAAAGATGTTATAAATCTTTGTGATTTATGTGCAGTGATTGCATGTTCCTAGAAATGGATATAAGTGACATACATCGATAGTTGAACCAAAGTACATGTAAATGGTGAGCTCTGTAGTCATTTTAAATCTTGTTGGGGTATTTCTTTTTTTTTTTCCTACAATGAGTAGTAACAAGTTAAGAGAAATTTTTCTTAACGATATGCATTTAATTCAGAAAATAAGTTTGTACTGCGTTACGAGTGGAAACTTCACTGTCCGACATTTTTGTACTTTCTATTTTGAGTACCTCTGTGATGAGCTCACAAAGCACATGACAGACTTGACCAGTAATCCTCCAGTCTTTCACCTAAGACAGAAAATTATTAACTTAATGATTCTGACTTACTAACAGGATACTGAAGTTGCTGGTAATGTTGTATGTTTAAGACTGAAACAAACATAGAACCATGGTCACAGGTTTCACATGAGTTGAACTCAGAAACCATTGGATTTGAAGACCCAAATGTTATAGTAAGGAGAATTAACATTGGAAGTGGGTAGAATCTCATTTTAAATCTTGGCCCTGCCATTTACTATCTTTACAGTAATGTTTGTGCAAAATGTAAATGATTCCATTGCATTTTAATGCGATTATGTATGTGAAGCACCTAGAGTAAAGTATGAAGTACAGCCAAGAGCTTAATAAAATCTAACGTCCACAAGCACCATCATTATCATTTCAACAACTGTGCTCCTTTTATTAAAAAAAAAAGTTTTAGACAAATTTGACATGTCACACTGTATAAATTTAAGTTGTATACCACGTTGCTATGATCCATTAATAAAAGGTTGTAACAATATTAGCACATTTTATACTTACAGTAAGTATTATCTATATTCAATATACTATACATTAGATCTCTGTAGCTTAACAGTTGTTACAAGCTTAACACCATCAGTCTTATCCCTCCAGCCCCATCTCCTATTACCCACTGTTTCATTTTTTAACAGGTTTGACCGTTTTAGATTCCACATAGAAGGGATACCACACAGTACTTGTCTTTCTCTGACGTATCTCACTTAGCATAACGTGCTTAAGGTCCATCCATGTTGTTGCACATGGCAAGATATCCTCCTTTTTCGAGGCCGAGTAACATTCCATTGTGTATATGTACATCTTTTTCACTCACTGATCCATTGATGGGCATTTCAGTCATTTCCGCATCTCAGCTATCGTGAATAATGCTGCAATAAACATGGGAGTGCAGATACCTCATCAAACTCCTGTTTCCATTTCCTTTGGGTATCTGCCTAGAATTGGAATGCCTGGATCATATGGTCGATCTATTTCTAACTTTTTGAAGAACCTCCATATGTTTTCCAAGGTGGTTGGACAAAACTACAATCCCACCATCATTGCATAAGGCACTGTTTCAGCGTGTCTTCATTAGCACCTGTTGTCTCTTATTTTTTTGATGATCATCTGTGCACCTTTGTTTTTTAAGTTTATTTATTTTGAGAGAGAGAGAGAGAGAGAGAGAAAGTGCGAGTGGGGGAGGGGCAGAGAGAGAGGGAGTCCGAGAATCCCAAACAGGATCTGTGCCGTCAGCACACAGCCCGATGCGGGGCTCGAACCCGCGAACCACGAGATCATGACCTGAGCCGAAGTCAGAGGCTTAACCAACTGCGCCACCCAGGTGCCCCTGCACACCTCTTTAAGTCACCTACAGCACAATGTCTTTATGTGTGCTGGGTGTACATTAGGCCTCGTTCACAGGGCTGTACTTGCCAGCTGGACAGGTAAAGATTAAGGGCAAAGGCATAGTGGTGCTATTGACTAAGAGAAGGACGAGGCCGGCTGTACTCCAGAAGCCCAATTATGAAGTAACTGAAACCAAAGTGGGGGTTCTAACCACTGAGCACAGCAGCAGATTGACATTTTTCCACATGCCGGAGTGATCAGGAGTTATAGTGTGCATCTCCCTACAAATGTTCAGTGTTTTTCCATCGATGATGAGTTTTAGCTCCAACAAAGACACCCTCTCTTTGTCTTCACTTCTTTTTCTGGAGAATAAGGATCATTCCGTTTCACTTACACTGTTGGACTTAATCAGCTAACAAATATAAAACATTCTGACCACATGATGTTACATAGACAGCAAATAATATTAGTAATAGGCGGAATGTAAGTGCCTTGATTGGTATTTTTCCAGAAAGTAGAGCTAATACTCATTCCTACCTGATGTGAAAATTCTTCTACACCCATTAATCATTGCCCGTGGAATGGAACTGGCAAATCTAGAAAGCTGCCAAGTGCCAGTATATCTACGCTGATATTTAACATTTTTCACATTAAAATTCTTTAGGTAGAAATAAATTGTAGACAGAAATAAACCTCCTTCAGTATTCATTGTCTCATAAACTCCAACATGGCAGGCACTCTGATAAATGGAATAATCGTTTCTAGTGTCACTGGGGCCGTGACATGCGTTTTAGTGTCTTTTGCTGCTATAACTTAATAATTCATTTCAGCACTTCTATTTGTAAATCAGAGAAGGTTTGTTTGATGGACAGAGCTCTGGGGAGAAGTGCACTTCCTTTGTCAGAATAAATAAACCGTATTTTAGGATTACTGTCTACCTGTGCAATTATTCAGTTCATAGGCTTGAGATCGTCTACGCCCTCTGATGTTGGATTCTGTTTTCAGGGCATGACATCTGTTCATTTTCAAGCACAAAAAGTCACGTATGGGAAGTCAGCTTTATAAATAATTTCGTAAGGTATCATGTGATTTTCCTTTTAGTTTGTTTACCAGAAAGTCTAGCACCTAAGTTGAAGCCCACTTCTAAGAATGGGGCAGAGCTGTATGGCCTTATGTTTTCGAGCAAATTAATAAATAAAATGAAGTGACTTTTTTTCTAGAGAAGAGGACATGTCAGTGGCTATATATTTCAGATTTGTTTTTTAATACAGTTCAGTGTTTTCTCGTTGTACTTAGACACTTATAGAATCTTTTAGACATAAATATGCATAAGGCATAAACTGTGACTTTGAGAAACTGTCATTCCTATGGGGGAGGTGCCAACAGTATCATAATCAAGATGCAAGCATGTGTAATTCCAGCTTTGGTACTAATATGACATAATTCAGTGCAATGCAAAATTTAATTCAGAGGTTCATCTAAAATATTTGGCAACTATTTTTCTTATGCCCATCACCCTGGTATTCATTATTTTTGCATTTTCTGTTTCAGAGACGCCCAAGCAGATGGCCTGCGATGAAGTTTCGAAGAGGTTCTGGTCATCCTGCCTATGCTGAAGTTGAACCAGTTGGAGAGAAAGAAGGTTTCATTGTATCAGAGCAGTGCTAAAATTTCTAGGACAGAACAGCACCAGTGCTGGCTTACAGGTGTTAAGACTAAAAATTTGCCTATACCTTTAAGACACATACAACACACACACACACACACACACACACACACACACACACACAGGAGCCCTAAGCTGCTGTAGCCTGAAGGAGAGGAGATTTCTGGACAAGCCCAGCCCAGCCCAGGAAGGGGGGAAAAAAAAAAACCTAAAATTTATGCAAGGTACCACTGACCGCTGAACATAGAATTCCCTAATGGGATGAATCTATAGTTCACTCAGAACATCTCCTGTGGATTTATCAGAAGTATGACAAGATTACAGTGCTATTGGCTTAGGTGCAGGGTTGCAAAGGGATCGAGAAAAACAATAATAATAAAGCTTTAGTTCATGAGGGATCCACACCTTTGCTTCAAATATTCTTCTCTAATGTCTCAAAGATAACGGTGTTCCAAAGCCTGAACCCTTTCTCTCAAAAGAGCAATGATGAATGTTTCAAGATCGCTAAGAAAAATAACTGACTCCTGCAGGAGCAAAAACAAACAACAAACAAACAAACATAAAACGAGAGATTTTCTATCTTTCCACCAGACGTGTGGCAAAAGGATTTTGTTTTTCTGGTCTAGATCCAATGGTCCCAACAAGTTCATTACTTTACAGAATGAATCTTTTATCCGTGCAGGACGTTCACACTATGCCTCCCTCTTCCTCGTTAATGAATGTCCTTTCTATGGGCTGTGACAGAATTGCCAAACTCAGCTAAGGATTAGGAGAGAGGGAGTGGCACGTGAGGTTTTCAGCTCTCCTGCCTCGGAATAAAACACTTCATTATTTTTAAAGAAACGTTGCCTCCATTTTCCCAACTATGAAATCCTATGAAGCCACAGTTGCTCTTGGCTGAAGGAAACAAGAGGAAACAATACAAAGACCTCCTTAATTGTTTTTCAAGCAAAAATGTTAAGGAATTCTAAACATATGGGGGATTTTTGGCTTTTTTTTTTTTTTCCTTTTTACTCTGTACCGGTTCAGTACTAGAGGCCCATTTCATTGTCGATTCCTGCCTGAGCAAGCCATTCAAGTCAGCATATCCCTGGCGATAAAAAGGATGAAAGAACCCTGCTGAATCATACAGTAATTTTCTTTAAAGCACATAGTAGTTACATAAATATATATATAAATATATTTTTGTTTATAACTAACACAAGGCAGGCTCTTGTGACTCAAAGAGTGCATTTTGTCATCAAGACAAACCACATGCAAGGTGCGTTACTGCATACTTCCATAGAGTTGTAAAATAATCCTTAATATTAGAATATTTTTATGTCACTCAGCAAAAGTGTTTGGTTCAATTAGTCGCAGTGCCGATCATTTTCCTGCCTATTTGAGCCACTCTTTCATTCATATCAACCCCTTCCCTCCCTGGCTAAATAAAGCAGAATGCTCCTTAGATGGATCTGTCATCTGCCCCGTCATCACAATCCAGATTTTGAAACTTCTCCATGAATGAGAAACAGTAAGGCATCGCTTGAGGAGGAAAGTGGTTAATATGTATACTGAGCTCCCAAAGTTGAAATTCAGGTACTGTGTGTACAATTTCATCCACATCTCGACCCATGAAGCTGACGTCCTGTGCCAAGAAGTTGCAGGCGCTTATAGGGTCCAGTGTCCCACATTTGCAGATTCAGGTATCCGGAAGCAGAGATGTATTGTAAGTAGCACTTTACTAACGCTTAGCATCTGTACCCAGTGTCTACCTTGAACGACATCAGTCTACTAACAGAGTATCGTAGTTTATCTTCACAGCTGTCTGATGTAAACTCGTGCCATCTTCCATCACATATATTTTGCTTTACGTTTTTAAATACTTGATGAGGATGATACTTTTTTCCTAACCTGCTTAGTTAATCATTGAGAAAAAAAAAAAAAAAAA